TATGGAACTTCAAAGAAGAAAAGGAGTAAAAGATATAAGGGAAATGTATAAAAGATATCAGGGTAGAAAAAATAGGCTGGGCTGGTCATGTAGTGAAGGTAAGAGATGACAAGTAAACAGAGTGCTCCTTTGGTTTCCTGGAGATGTCAGGAAAAAGCAAAGAAGGCCTCCAGCATGTTGGGTAGCTTCCTCTCTAGTGAACTTAGGAGAAGACGTGGACAAGAGTTGCATAGGGTTGGCAAAGCATGGGTAGGTTGGGATCTGTATTGTTGGAGGAAGCATCCATGCCATTAAATCATAGATCCCTTTGAGTATGTCTCAATAAACATTGTTTCTTCTCTCTCAAAGTTTTAAAATTGTTACTAGTTTACATGACTCTATACATTATACTTTTGACATAAACTGTTAGTTTAACACTGATTTTGAATATATGTTCACTGCCTTATTTGAATATAGTCAAATTATACACTTCCCTTCCCTTCCACAAAAAAGCAGCATCATATGTTGGCACTCCAGTGCTGTTTAAAGAAGTCATGGTCCACCACAGATTAATGTTATCCAATTTCATCTGGTTGGATACTTGTGCTGGCGTTGTCCTGATTGGTCCCTAGGGACTCTTAAGAGTTATTTACCAAAACAAAATGATATACTCTTAAGTCATTCAACAGTTAACAAAAAAATTTTTTAGTCTTAAGCTAGAGGATACTCTGTGAGGATCAGCTTTGTGGACACCTTAAGTTTTTTGCCTGAGAAAAGTTTCCTTGCCTCGGTTATCCATTGTGATTCTCCAGCCTAGCCTCTGACTACTCAACAATCTGAGTCTTTAGTCCTCTGAGTCAACCAAGTCTTTTTTTTAAACTTTTTTTTTAAGTTTATTTTCATTTTTTTAAGCATCAAAGAACCAAATTAATGTGAGCTAGTATTATTATTAGCTAGAGTTTTCAGAGAAGGTAGTGAAGGGCCTAGAGAATCATGCCATGTGAGAATTTATTGAAGGAACTGGAGCTGTTTAGTTTAAGAGATACATTAACCGTGTTCAAGTAGTTGAAAGATTGTCATGTGGAAGAGCGATTAGACTTGTTCTGCTTTTCCCCATGAAACAGAATTAGGAGTAATTGGCAAAAGGTAGAGAGAGGCAAGTTTCTGGTTGATATAAGGGGGAAAAAAACCTATCAGACTTCTCACCTGGACTATTGCTGTGGCATCCTAATTGGACTTCTGCTTTCTAGTCTCTCTCCTCCCCAAAGCATCCTCTGTACTGCTGCCGAGAAAGTATTCCAAAAGCACAAGTCTGATTTCATTATTCATCTGCTCAAGAAACTTCAGTTGTCTTATGGATAAAATACAAACTTGTCAGCTTGTCAGTTAAAACCCTTCACAATTAAGACTTTAGTGCATATTACTCCCTATCATGTGCTTTCAAACTAGACTGTTGTTCCTATAATCAGCACTTCATCTTTTACCCTCTGTGCCTTTGCTGGTGCTCATTCCTGAAATGCACTCCTGAGTCACCTTCACGATTTCTAATCCTTAGCTTTCTTTAGTTTTACTTCCTAAGCTTCGCCTCATCCTGACAGTTGTTAGTGTTCTCTCCCCCTCCTCAAATTATCATCTGTATGTGTTTTCCCTCCAATAGAATGTAAGCTTCTTGAGGGTAGAGACTTTTAGATTTGTTTTTGACTTCTACTGGTACCTGGCACACAGTAGGTGTTTAATAAACAAATGTATGTTGAATTGGATTGGAAACTTCTTGACAATTACAGTATACTTCTTTGAGAAGTGTTGGTTTCCTTGTAAAATTGGCAACAGTTTTAAATATGATAAATTTTTCTTTCTGAAATTTTTAAGCAGACACTGGATGACCGCTTACTGAGTTATATTGTAGTGAAGGGACTCTTGTTCTGCCCTTATGCGCAGAATAAATGGTTTTTGAGGCCTTTGAAGCAATTTCTACTTTTGAGAATCTGATTTCTTTATGTGAACTGCTTTCTAAACTAAATTTTATAGATGCCAACTATTACTCTTTCACTCATATGTACTTTGCTTTATCCACTAGGTTGTCTACAAATTACTCCTTTGAATAATTTTATCCAATTTGTGAACAGCAAAGTAGAATGCAGTGAAAGTACTCTACATAAAAATTTCTAATTCAGCCTGACCTAAATTGGTTGCATGAACTGCTTTTTAAATTCATCAGCTGAGGTTTATGTAACTTTCTTTCCTATCACGAGACAAGAGTACTTTGAGGGAAGACTTTTGACTTAAAACATTTTTCATGTTTTCTTTAAAAAATGTATCAAGTTCTCATTTACAAGTATAGCGCTTTTTAGTCCAAGACATCCCCTTAGAATACAGAAACAGTATATACAATTTTCCCTTCCACATCTTGGCTGATAATCTGGAAAATCCATGTAAAATTTTTTGGCCCTCCATAAGAGAAGTAGTCTGAATTTTTTCTTTTTCTTTTGTGGGGTGTTTACAGTACATTACAGTAAAATTTGGATTAGGTCTTTGGTCATAGGCTCTGTGTTTTCTGCTGGCTTCTTCAGAACACCCCCCCGAATTCCCACTTAATATATTGAATAATTAATATATTGAAACCACAATGGGGAAAGTTGCAATGTGGAAGGAATAACACTAAAGGTGAGAATTGCTAATAATTAGCTTATACCAACAGCCGGTTTAGATGCAGATGTAGAAAGAGCAAGAGGTCACAAAAGAGATAGACTCATTCAACCTGTGGCAGATTTGTTTATAATGCTCCCATAAAAATGGGCGACATGGAGTGCTCACATAGTCACAACTTAGGTTTTTATGTATTTTATAGAAATTGCATGTTTCACTATGCAGTGCTATGCTATTATATTATGGCTTATTGAGACATACCTCTTTGTTTATGTGTAGGGTTATGTATATATTATTCTATACCTATTACAAGTGTTGCATTGCTTTTTATTTCTATTACTGATCATTTGCTTTGGTTGCTGATTGTGATTGTGTGTATATTATTATGTGTATCTGTTGTGTAAATAATTTAGACATTTAATAATTGAAGTAGCTTGTCAAATGGTGCTTTGCAGTGTGATATATCTAGTGCATAGAGTATTAATATGAATTTGGTGTATGCTTTTTTTCTTCAGAGATTGCAAGGTTTTTGGATGCAAGAAGAAATATAATCTTAGCTTCAATAGACTTTCAGAGAGACTTCAGAAATTATGTTATTTAAGAGAGAGAGAAGAATCTTGGAAAAAAGAGTTAATTGTCATCTTGAAAGTTAGCTATCTACTTTGAGTAGTCTGTGAGAGAACAGAGAAGACTAGGAGAAATCTTTCTTGAGAATTGAATAGTTAAATGTGAGAGAGAACGAATCTGTGAGAGATTATGAGACTTAATTGTAATCTTTGAGAGACAATTTAGTAGAACGGAATTTAACTTTTATTCTGTGGAGAAGACATCCTGACAGGCTGAATTCCCATACCGAGAGAACTGAATTGTTGGAACTGTGGTTCTTGTATGAGGAAAACAAGTTGCTGCCAGTAGTTAGAGGTGACTGTGACTTTTGCTTATGTAGATATAGATATCTATGTATCTTTATTATCTATTAATAATTTAACTAATAATATTTATCTATACTTATAGACCAATTTATCTTTATTATCTATTATCTGTTATTATATTGGTGATGTAACTAGTAACTTGATGTTTCTCTAAGCCTGTATGAGACTGGGGTTTGAGATTGTATGAGTAGAGTGAATAGAAGAGGGAAAACCTCTGGGAAAAGAGGTTTCTCCAGTTTTTGCAAACTGGGGTGGGGGGTTCAATGGTAATTAATTCTGAGAGAGTTGTTGCAGTTATCACGATTTGTGAAGAAATATCAGAACATAACTCTTGATTGCTTACGAACCCAGTGTGAGAGATTTAATAAGCTAATGAACCAAGTATTAGGCTGAGGGGGAGAGAGGTTTGGTGTCATTGTCCCTGAGAGCACCTGAGGGGTGTCACTCAACACTTTACAGCATCAAGATACCCATCACATTGACTGCTACATGTGGATTGACAAAAACTCTGTTACACGTAGAGTAAAGCTTAGATACACAAGCATAGTTACTGTTTTGCTATGAATGCCAGTTATCAATAGCAAACAGGAAGATGTGAATAGTAAGATTTTCAGAGAGCTACTTGTTCAAATCCAGTACAACTTATACCTGGGCATTGTTAAATCATTTGTTTTCTACCTATATAATGTTGGCAGCCTGTAAAATGTGTACATATTTCTTCACTACTTAAAAAGACCCTTGATGGTGTGGGTGTTCCCTATATTGAGACAGATTGGAACTCCCCCGTGATTTAATTGATTGTTTTATAAATTTCTGTGGTCAGAAAACCAATAATAATTACCTGGGATGGTGATTCCATACTAATCCTCCGATGACAGACAATAGTCTGAGGCTTGGCCTGTACTTGAAAGTTTTCCACGTTGGTAGGGCCTGCCAGACTCTGTGGCCAAGAACCCAGGTTGGCTACCTCCATATTGTGAAGTATCAGGGGAGAACTGAGGTGGAAGATATATACATGCACATGTGTATCTGGTAATGTCCAGGGAGGCAGCATAATGTTATGGAAAAAACCCTCTGGATTTGGAGTGACAGGACCTGGGTTTGAATTGCAGTTTTGCTGCTTCCTGTCGGTGGGACCCTCCAGCAAGTCATTTAGTCTTTCTGAGTTTAAGTTTCTTCATATAAAAGTGAAGACCAGGTGGATCAATAAGGTCCTTTCATTTGAACAAAATTGATACGAACTTTAAACCTATGTGGACTTTAAAATCTACGTAGTTAGAAGAGCCTTTAGTTATAATGTCTTTGCAGTGCTTATTTGGAAGTGACATGATTATGGTCTTAATGCTGAATGTTGGATTTAAGATCATGAGAGCGGTGCTGTAGCAGTTTAGAAAAGAACATAACTTTGTATTTATTCCTTTTTGGAAATTTTCTGTGTTTAAGGAACTAGAAGCCATTCGTGTCAAGGTAAAATCCGGAGAAAGGCCAATGCCACCTCTTGCAGCAATCCGGCCCAAAACAATAACTTTGAGTCAACCATTCAGTGGGAATACAGATTTGTTAGGATTAAGTGTTGTTAATCCTTCAATTATTCGGATACAGCCTCTTATGAGAACTGAACCACAGGATTTGACAAATACTTCACCTCCACCTCCTCTTCAACTTCTTGTGCAGAGACCACTGCCCCCTCTTGGACCAGTTTCTGTGGAGAAGTTTATGGCGCATAAAATGCTGAATGGACAAAAGGCCACATTTGTTCCTTTGTCTGCCTCTAACACTTCAACAATTACATCGTCAGCAGTTATGTCCAATTCAGCAGATTTGCTTATTTCCACCCCTGAGAGTGAGTGCACTAAGATAAAAAAATCCTTAAAAGTGAAAACCCGATCAGGGAGAATTTCACGGCCACCAAAATATAAAGCTAAAGATTACAAGTTCATCAAAACTGAGGACTTAGCTGATGGGCACCAGTCAGATTCAGATGACTATTCAGAACTTAATGTGGAAGAAGAAGAAGACAAAAGGGGGAAAGATACATTATTTAATTCTTCGAGTGGTTACCTGAAGCCTAAAACTTTTAAGTGTCAGACTTGTGAAAAGTCATATATAGGACAAGGAGGACTAGCACGACATTATAAACTTAATCCAGGTCATGGGCAGCTGGAACCTAAAATATTGGTATCTGATAAGCCTGATGGAAGTGGAGAAGCAGGAGATGGCACTGTGAATGTAATGGCTCCTGTGCCATCAATCCCAACTGCTTTAAATAGTGAAAGTACACTAGCTCCATGTGTGGCAGGACCAGATTCAGCATGGAATGGGCAACAGGTAACACTTCTTTTTTTCTTGAATTTCTTATCTCCTGTTTCTACCTATGTCAGTGACTTTAAACTGGAACCTCTCCTTGAGATTAATGAGTAGCTATTCTTGTATACTGTAAATGTTAAATTGAGGTCTAAAGTCTCCTTCCATTTTTATCCCTAAGCCCCCTGGTCATTAAGAGTCTGGAATATATCAGAGTTTATATACTGAAACTTTAGATGCTAGATGACCTTTAAAATGGCAGTTAATATTTTTTGTCTAAACATACACACATAAAAGTCTGTTGTCATTCTTTTTCTTTAATAGATCTGTTAAATATTTAGGCCACCATAAATTGCTCTAGCTACCATAAATTGTTATTTTGCTATCTAGCCACCATAAATTGCTGTATTGTAATCTACTTCATGATAAACTCCATGCCTTTTTCCCAAGGAGGCAGATCCCAAATTCTGACTGACTGTATTTTGAAGAGAAAAGCCATTCTCTCCTGGAACTATGAGGACAACAGATTTAAGAGATATATCATCCCTAGGTGGTGGGGAATCATGGTGTCTAGGGAAACCTTTTGGATAAATTAAGAACTAAGGCAGTATATACTTCATCTGTACTTCTGAGTATTTTTACCTTGATATATTCTGAATTTGTATATTTTTTTTACCCTTGAAATAAGGATAAGGAATAAACCTATAATTTTATTGGTACAGAAAATTCCTGGATGAAGAAATCAATGGAATTTGGCACTTTTCTCTCTACAACTTATAGTCTCAGAGCATTGTTTAGAGCACAGAGAAATTAAATGACTTGCCCAGGGTTAAATATCCAGTATCTGGTTGAGTTGGGACTTGAACCAAGCTGGCTCAGAGGCCAGCTCTATTTCCATTATAATACATTGCTCTTAATTTGCACGTAAAACCCAGAAAACATAATCATGTGGTTTTGATTGTGTGGAGATGGTGGGAGTGAAGAAAAGGAAAAGGGAACTGGTCAGCTTTTCTCCTATCATACATCTCTATAATGATATCCTTTATACTGCTTAACTTATGTAGTAAGTAATTGGTAATGTGTTGTCATGCTCCTTAATATTGCCCTTTGGCTGACTCACAGCTTTAGTGCCAAAGACTGGTGTTCCATGATTTGGTGCCATGTAGCACCACTTGAATATTACTATAAACAGTTGGATCTTTCTTTTAGGCAGAAGTTTAGAATCATTAAAAGCAGTGTGCAGTTTTCCAAAGGTAATTCAGCAACTCTCTTTCTCTGTTCAGTTAATTTTGTTGATACTTTTTTCCTTTCTTGACATCATTATTACTATCCATCTCCCTTCTCTACACTTAATTCCCCCCCCCCCAAAAAAAGCCATCCTTTATAAGTGTAGTAAAGGAAAACAAACCACACATTGATAATGTCTGAAAATATGTCATTCTGTACTTCTTGTCCATCAGTATCCATTGCTGTCAGCAGGTGGGAAACATGCTTCCTGGGACTGTGATTGGTTATTGTGTTACTTATAATTTTAAAGTTTTTTTTTTGTTTCGTTTTGTTTTTGGCTAGGCAGTGGGGTTAAGTGACTTGCCAAGGGTCACACAGCTAGTATCAAGTGTCTGAGGCTGGATTTGAACCCCAGGTCCTTCTGACTCCAGGGCTGGTGCTCTATCCACTGCACCACCTACCCTGTCCCAAGTCTTTTTTTTTAAGAAAATATTTAAGTTATGAACTTTATAGTTACAACAAACACGAACATTCCATATTCAAAGGACAGAAAAGGAGGATTGTGTGTGAAACCATGAATCTACTGAGTATAGCTTTTATTTTAAAAATATCTATCAATTTTTTTTGTTTTTTTTTAGATAGGCAGTGGGGTTAAGTGACTTGCCCAAGGTCACACAGCTAGTAAGTGTTATGTGTCTGGAGCAGATTTGAACTCAGGTACTCCTGAATCCAGGGCCGGTTCTCTATCCACTGTGCCACCTAGCTGCCCCTATCTATCAACTTTCACATGATAGCATTAATACTACATTTCTTTGTATCCTTCTGAACTTCTTTCTGCTCTCTTCTGTGTATTTTTATGTATTTCATTGACATTTTTCTTTGGATCACTGTGACTGCACCCACCTTTACCCACATGCTCTCCACTCCCCCATTAAAAGCCCTTTCTTGTAGCAAATAAATATAATCGATGAAAACAAATTTGTGTTGTTATCAGTTGCATCAAAAAACAACTATCTCATTTTTGTCTATAGTCCAGGCAATCATGCCTCCATCAAGAAGTGGGAAGCATATTTCATCTTCAGGCTGCTGGAATCATGATTACTTGTTGAATTGATCTTAAATTCTTAAATGTTTCACAGTTCTTTTCCTTTATAGCATTGTAGTGATTGTATATATTGTTCCCCTGGTTCTGTTTGTTTCATAACGTGTCAGTTCACAAAGTCCTCCTAGATCCCTCTTTTGGTCTTTCTTTGATGTCTTTGAGGCATTGTAGTGGAATTGATGGGTGTGTACATTTTAGCATCCAAAGAATGTTCAGACCAATTCATAGCTTCACCAGCAGTGCATTTCTTTGACTTTTCTTATTTGTTAAATTTGTCTAATTTTTGAAAGGGGTATATTGAGGTCACCAGCTGTTATAGTTTTACTATCTGTAATTTGATTAATTTTTCGTGTTTTTTATATTATATATATATATGTATATATATGTGTATATATACATATATATGTATGTATGTATGTATGATGTCCCTGTTAGTGTAAATAATCCCATGAAGTGGTGGTCTGCATTTGAATTTGCAGTTTGAAGTTAATGATTATGTGAAATATGGTAGCTGGTTCTGGCCTAATGAATATAAGCAGTGTGATTTGAAAAATGTGACCACTACAGGAAATTGATTATTCCCACTATTTGGGGCCTAGGTGTATGTGCCATTTGGTGCATATATATTAAGCATTGATATGATGTCATTTTTTATGATCCTTTTTAGTACAGTATAGTTTCCTTGTTTCTCTCTTTTAACTGTGTCTATTTTTATTGTTGCCTTGGTTGAGGTTGATTGCTACCTTTACTGTTTTGAGTTGGACTAAAGTATAATAAATTCAGTTTCAACCCCTTTGCGGATCTTTGTTTCAAGTATATTTCTTGTAAATGTTCTTTTTTTGTATTCTGTTAACCTCTATGAATTTATAGGTAGATCATTCCATGCAGAGTTATGACTATTAATTGTGAATTTTCTCCAACATGTATTCTCTTATACTTTTTCCTTTATTTGCCACTCTTTATGAAGGTAGTGAGATGATGATTCTCAAGTCTTCCTATTCTGTCCTAAAGTCTGCTGACCTCCAGTCTTGCACCTGGAAATTGCCTTTCAGAAATCTCAGATTGTGTGTCCAGTAGACATCATAAAGTCAGTATGACCAAAACAGAATTCATTACCTTTCCCCATAAACCCTCCTATCCTCCTTCCCTGTTACTGTTGAGGACAACACCATTCTCTCAGTCCCTCAGGCTTACAGCCTAGGAGTCATCCTCAATTCCTCACTATTTCTTACCCCACATCTCTTATGTGTTGCTAAGGCCTGTCAGTTTTACCTTTGCAGCCTCTCATCCTCCAACGTTGCTACTACCCAGCTACTGGCCCTTGTCTATCATCTCATGCCTGAATTATTGCAATAGCCTGCCTCGTCTCCCTGCACTCTAATCCATTCTCCATCTGCTAAAGTGATGTTCCTACAATGCAGGTCTGACCATCTGCCCTTGTGCTCCTTAAACTCTGTGGCTCCCTACTGTATCAGGATCAAACACCAGATGCTCTGTTAGGCATTTAAAGCCTTTCATGACCTAGTTCCCTCTTGCTTTTCCACTCTCTTAGGCCTTACTTCCCTACATATAACTCTTCGATCCAGTGACAGTGGCCTTCTTATTGTTCCACGGACAAGAGACTCCCACCTCTCAGCTCTGGGCATTTTTGCAGGCTGTTCCCCATGCCTGGAATGTTCTCCCTCCTCCATTTCACCTACTGACCTCCCTGGCTTCTTTTTAGTCCCAAGTAAAATCCCATCTTTTGCTGGGAGCCTTCCTTAACCTCCCTTGATTCTAGTGCCTTCCTCCTGTTAATTATTTTCTTTTTATCCTGTGTGTAGTTTGCTTTCTATGTGATTGTATGTTGTCTCCCTCATTAGATTGTAAGCTCCTTGAGGGCAGGAACTGTCTTTCACCCTTTTTTTTTTGTATCTTCAGCATTTATCACAATATTTGGCACATAGTGGGCTCTTGATAAATTGTTATTGTTGGTTCATTGTTTTGTATCTTCTGTTTCTTTTAATGATTAATATTTATTCAATATTTTGGAATTTTGTTTTTACATTTCTAGGAAGTAATCTTTGTGGTTGTTTTTTGTAACCCTTTATTTTGTTTAGAACTGGAAGAGGCCTTAGAACTTAGCTATTTCAACCACCTAATTTTACATGAGGAACCTGAAACTCAGAGGTTGAGTGACTTGCCTGAGACAAATGTCTTGTCTGACAGATGGCAAGTAGCAAAGGCAGGATGTTGAGGAGTCGGGACTGTTTTCTTACCTCTCATTTCTGTTGTAATTCCTAAGTTCGGACTTTTGTGCTTGACATTTAAGACCTTTCACAGTCTGACTCTACCTGTTTCCCTCATGTTACTTGCCTACTTTATCATTACCCTTCCCATACATTCAGCTGCATGCAAACTGGAGCACATGTTCTTCCTCTCCCTCTCCCTTCATGCCTATGCTCATCTGCCTCTGTCTTTTGTCATGCTGTACATCATGCCTAGAAAACCTTCCCTTTTCTTCGTTATCTATTGAGTTCATACCTGTCCTTTTTAGTGGCCAACTAAAATGACATCTGTTCTTGAAAACTTTTTCTGATCCTCCCCTTCCCTTAATGGTAATATCCTGCCCCCTCTGCATCTTCATATTGCACATCTCTAATGTACTACTAGTATAATATAGGTATTTGTGTATTTCTTTTATTCTCCTAGACTATACACTCCACAAGGGCAAGGATTGTGCTTTATCTAAACTTGTATGTCTTCCAGAGCCCTTAGCTTGAATGTTTCCTAGAAGGATATAAAGTATGATTTGTGGATTTTTATTTTTATTTTTGGGGAATGCTGATATAGAACTGTGATTCAGAAGAAGCTGGAACATTACTGGAGTCAGAAGAAAAAAGTGGAATTCGCTTGGCATGTTCGGGATCCAGGAGGAGGACCAGAGGATCGAAAAGAAGTAGAAGACTAAGGGCATCTGTAAAGTCAAGTTGTTTAAGCAAACACAGCGATTCAGTTCAGCCTACTTCATGCACAGGTGTAGCAGCAGAACAAAATGTAGTGAGGAATAAGGCAAAGCTCAAAGAGGTATGTCATTCATGGAACCCCATATCATTTCATAAACATTTGTGTTTCATTGGATTCAGTTTGGGGAAAATTTTACTGAAAGCGTATTTGCCCTTAGGTCATTTTAGTTGGTATTCATTGTAACAATTCAACTGGGAAATAAATGTATTTTGGAAAATTGAGCATTATAATAACATCAAGCATTATGATGTCAGAAATAATTGATTATGTATGTGGTTATGTATACATATGTAAAAACAGACACACACGCATGCATGTGCATGTGTGATTGTGTGTTTAAATCCTGGCAAGCTGGACATGCTTTTCCATTTGCTTGTAGGCAGTTTTGATGTATATAGGACTATCATGTTTCAGCTTATTAGACCCTTATTGGAAAAGTTTACTGTTTTAGCATAATAAAGTAATATATCAGGGTTTCCTTTGAGAATGTATTAAAACTTCCTTCTGCTAGAACTAACTCATTTGCACGGTAAATTGAGCTGTGAAGTGGTGTTGTCTGGAAATATGATACAACATAGATAATGTTAATTTGTGGTTTTCTAAGTCAGTGTGCTGCCACCCTAATTCTCTGTGTCTGAAAACCAGCCGGAGATGTAGCTGTGCCATTTTTCTGAGTTCCTGGTTTACTATGGGCAAATTCCTTTATCTCTTTGAATTTCAGCTTTCTTTTTTAAAGTAAGATGAGGATAATAATGATTGCCTTACCTAACTTACTAAAATCAAATTTTAAAAATTGGTGTAAGTAAATACTTCTTAAACTATAAACTCATATAAATATAAATTGTTAATGATTATTATAGTAGTGGATAATAGAATTCCTTAAGATAGAGGTATGATTGTAATGAGTGAGAACTCCAGATAACCATTCTGAAGAATAGCACTAGCCGTCATATTGGGTTTATTTACTAAACTCACTGTTAAACTTGCTTAAAAATACAAGGAGAAGAAATGGATTAAATAGAATATTACTCTTTTTGCTTTTTTTTTAGGCAGAAACTAATATTAGTGACATAAAGTTCTGAATACAAATTCAAATGAATTACCTTTAATCATGAATATTCATCATCTTCCTTACCTTTTCCCCAGAAACATTTAATTACTTATACGGTTGAGGAAATTACTCATACAGTTAAGTAGAAGGCTAAGGACAACTGTAAAGTCAAGTTGTTCAGGCAAACACAGCAATTCAGTTCAGCCTAGTTCATGCACAGGTGTAGCAGCAGAACAAAATGTAGTGAGGAATAAAGCAGAGCTCAAAGAGAGATAAGCAGTCATAGGATATGAACTGGCAGTTCTTAAAAGAAGAAAAACAAATTGCCAATAAAGACATAAAGTATTCCGTTTCTCTTATTAAATAAATGTAAATTAAAACAACATTGAGGCAGAAATGTCCATTTAAAAACAGGCACACTATTAACAGATTGTAAATTAGTTCCAGCCTTTTTTAAAGCTATATGGAATCACTCATAGTAATTTTAAAATTATGTACCCAGTAGTACCAGTACTTTGCAACAACAGAACCTCAGAAGGAGGTGCAAATTGGGATAATAACACTCCCTAACTCAAGTTACCTCAGGTACCAGAAGTAGTTCCACTACTTCTATTTCAGATCAGACACTTCCTAAATAATACTTCTTTACTTAGCTCATAATTAGTAATAAGGTACAGACTACTTATGTCTCCTTTGCATCTTTCCATTGACTTGAGTCAAGCACAACTTTGATTATTTGGAGATTTTTTTTTTTTGACTAGGCATTGGGGTTAAGTGACTTGCTTAGGGTCACATAGCTAGTAAGTGTTATGTGTCTGAGGCCGGATTTGAACTCAGGTCCTCCTGAATCCAGGGCCAGTGCTCTATCCACTGCGCCACCTAGCTGCTCCATTTGGAGATTTTGATGTTCAAAGATCTGTGACCACAGGGAGAAATTTTGAATTAAAAAAGATGGGGTTTTTGACTGGGATACAATTAGTGGATTGCATTGAAGAGGTTCCATAAAATTACAAGTTTTATGCAGTCAACATAATTTCATCTGCAAACAGGACCATCTACAAATCACTTTATAAATTTTTTTTAACATGATCTTCATTTCTCCGTATATCCAATACTTCCTGCCTTCTACCCAGAGAACCAGCTAACTCACACATCAATTGAGTCTGACACGATATACAGGAATTTATATTCTCACTCTTATACGTGTACAAAGAAGAGATGGAAGAACATTCTCATATCTCTTCTTTGGGGTTAAATTTGGTTATAATTACAAGGCATTTAGTGTTTATTTTTCCCCCCATTATTGTAGTTATGTGTATACTGTTTTCCCTTATCCTACCTTGTATCAACTCACATGATTCTACCTATGTTTCTCTGCGTTCTCCACGTTTATTGTTCCTTACAGTGCCGTCCGTATATGTACCATTTTAGTCATACCTCTTATTGATTGGAATCTACTTTTTTAGTTCTTTGCTACTACAAAAAAGTGTACAGGTGACATTTGTTAGCGTATTAGTGTTCACAGATTTATTCATATGCAGTACTTCATTTGATCCTCACAACAAACTCTTTGAATTAGGGACTGTTCTTATCCTAATTCGCTCCCCATTTTGATTCAAATATCCTCCTGCTGAGGCTCTGGAATAGCACAGTCTGTGAAGAGTCAAAGTAGTGGGTGACCTAAAGGTTTATGGAGAGACACACATGACTGAAAGTAGGTAGTATTTTCTTATTAATGGTGACCTAAGAACAAGAAGTATCGTTTAGGATATGTACCATCTGAAAAGGAAGTGGGCTGGGTTTATAGTAAGGATGCTGTAGTGATACCTATGTAGTGTTAAAAAATTCAGAGGTAAGCCCCCCAGCATGCCAGGTGGATATTTTATTGAGGATTTTTTGGAATAATGTGGACAAGATTTACATGGATGAGAAGTCATAACTAAATGTTGTAATCTGTGCCCGTGGAGGGAATTTCCATATCAATGAGACCATAGATTTGTCAAAGTATTGCTGCCTTGGAAATACAAAAAAACCCCAAAAAAACCCCCAAAACCCAAGGGAATCTTCTAATAGATTAGATTATTCCCTTGGAGAAATCTATGAAAGAACATGGACAAGAGTTGCACAAGATGAGAAGACTGGGCTAGGATATGATCTGTACTGTTAGAGGGAAGCCTCACATTCTAGCTCTTTCTCTCCTTTCCAATATGCCTATAGTTGACATTCTGTTTTTTAAGAAGGATGGTGAAAAATTTGAAAACTTAATCTCATACAAGGAATAACTGAAGGTATGGTTAGTCTACAGAAGATGACATAGGATAGCTGTCTTTAGATATTGAATGACTTATGTTTAAGAGGGGATAGATTTCCAGTCAATGGTGGAAGTAATAGGAAGACACATTTTGCTTATATATTTAAGAAAGACATTTCTAATGACTAGAACCATTCATAAAAGGAATATGTTACCTTGTAATTAATTCGCAACAACCCTGTGAGGTAAGTACTACTAGTATTACACACCTCCCCCCCCCATACAGATGAGGAAATTGGTTTAGAAAAGTTGTGATGCACATGACCTCACTACTAAGAAGTGAAATGGAGAATTTGAAACCTGACTTATCTTGACTTCAAGCCCAGTACTCTTTACACATCGTTGTGCTGCTTCCTCAGTGTGCTCCCTGCACATGGAGGCACATAAGCACATGCCAGTGTCAACAGTACGGAATCTCTCTGACATGATAGAAGTGATATCTGTATTGGAAAGGAAGTTGGACTAGCTTTTCTCTGAGATTCCTTTTAAGAATGTGTAAAAGAAGTAAAATTTCCTACTGGCTTGTTAGATGTGTAGAAGACATGCATAGCTTAAAAGTTGGTAAATATCATGTTTTGGTAGTTGCTCCAGCAGTGTGATCATGAAGATTTAGTGGAACTGGCTCTACCACGTCTAAGCAAGCTTGTAACTGTCTATGAATTTCTTCTCATGAAGGTGAGTATTCTCATTGTGTAAGAAGTATACTGCTTTGGATGATGATATTTAATAATTTAGAAAGTTGGACTTTAATTTAAAATGAATTAGGCTGTCTGCAATTTTCTGTACCATAGATTTCTGCAAATGTTTATCAGATCTCTATTTGACATATGTTAGAAGGTGTCTGGTTGTCTGTATTTATTGTTTATTGCAGTGATAGAGCCTGAAGGGTATAGTAGGTAGAGTGCTAGATTTGGAGTTGGGAGGACATGGGTTCAAATCCCACCCCAGAGACTTCCTGGCTGTGTGACCTGGGGCAACAATCAGTCATGAAGCATTTATTAAGCCCTTATTTGGCCAGGCACTGTGCCAACCACTGGGAATACAAGAAAGGCAAAACTGAACAACCATCCAAAACCCAAAACTGGCCCATGGAGTCCTACTGGGAGAGACAACGTGTAAGTATTGCTTTACACACAAGATAGATATAGAAGATGTGCAAGTAATCTGAAAGGGGAAGGCATTAGCAGCTGATGGAGATAAATGGACTAGAAAGAAAATCTCCTTTGCGGGGGTGGGATATGAGTTGAGTCTTTGAAGGGAGCCAGGGAAACTGAGTGGCAAATGTGAGAAGGTAGATGATTCCATGTATGAGAAACAGCTAATTCGAAGGCACAGGACTAGAAATCAAGTGTTGTGTTTGAGAACTACAAGTAGGCCAGTATGGCTAAATCATGGGGTATGTGCAGTGGAATGCTAGAAAAGTAGGAAAGAGGCCAGGTTATGAATAACTTTAAATGCCAAACAGGATTTTATATTTGATCCTGGAGGTAATAAGGAGACACTAGAGCTTATTGAACTAGGGGCATCACATGGTCGTACCTATATTTTAGGTAAATTACCTTGGCAGCTGAATAGAGGATAGATTGGAGTAAGGAGAGTTGAGGAAGGGAAAGTGATTAGAAGGCACCAGTCCAGTCAAGGAGTAAGGAGGATCACAACTAGGATGGTGGCTTTGTGAGTGGGGAGAGAAGAAAGTTTACTCAAGAGGTAAAGGTCAAGAGAAGATTTGTCAGTAGATTGGATATTTAGGATAAGTGAGGTGTCAAGAGCGATACTAAATTTTTGCGCTTGGGTAACTGGGATGATGTTGGAAGTTTGGAAGCAGAGCAGCTTTGGGGTGGGCCGGAGCAGGGTTTGTTGGAATTGTGCGGACAGTAAGGATAAAGAATTTTGTTTTGGAGAGTTGAGTTTGAGATGAGACAATAATTGAATCCATGGGAGCTGATGAGATCACCAAGTAAAATAGTACAATGGAAGAAGAGAAGACAGTCCAGGACAGTTCCCTCTGGAAACACTGGTGGGTAAGTGGGCATGACCAGGATGAAGATCCAGCAAAGACTGAGAAGAAACAATCAGGTTGGGCAACCAGGAGAGAATTGTGTCACAAGAACCTAGAAAGAAGACAGTATCAAGGAGAAGAGGGTTATTGACAGTGTCAAAGACTGCAGAAGGGTCAAAAAGAATGAGCATCGAGAAAAGGCCATTAGATAGGGCATTTAAGAGATCGTTAATAATTTTTTTTTTCAGTTCCTAACTCTTTCTCCTCTCCCTTCCACTCTTTCCTCCACTTACTGGGAAGGCAAGAATTACAATATCCATTATAGATAGGAAGTAATGTGAAACATTTCCATGTTAGCCATGTTCCAGGAAAACAACAACTTCCACCAGAAAACAAAACAAAACAAAAACCCGAGAAAAAGAAAGAGAAAAAATACGCTTCAATATGCATTGAATCCTTCAGATCTCTATATGGAGGTGGATAGCGTTTTTTATCTATCATGAGTCCTTTGGAATTGTGATGGATCATTGATCAAAGTTGTTAGTAATTTTGGAGAGAGAAGTTTTGGTTGAATGATGAGGTTGGGAGCCAGATTGTAGAAATTAAGAGAGTGAGAGGAAAGGCATTGGAGGCACTTGTAGATAGCCTTTTCAAGAAGTTTAGCCACAAAAGGGATGAGAGAGCTGGCAAGGATAGATTGGTTTTTTTTGAGGATGGAGGCAACATGAGCATGTTTGTAGGCAGTAGAGAAGCAGCCAGTAACATGCTGCAGAGAGATCAAGGAGGATGAATATTCAGGAGAGGCTGTTAGATTTAATAGTGAAGAAAGATCATTGGTAACTTTGGAGAGGGAAGTTTCAGCTGAATGGTAAGATGTGAGTACAGATTGCAGAGGGTTTAAAGGGGAGTGAGAGGAGAAGAAAGGGGCTGGGATCTGGAAGGCCCGAGTTCAAATCTGGTCTCAGACACTTACAAGCTGTGTGACCCTGGGCAAACTACTTAACCTGTTTGCCTCAGTTTTCTCATCTGTAAAATGGAGATAATAATTGTACCTACCTCCCAAGGTTGTTATAAGGATCAGATGATATAATTATAAAGTGCTTAGCACAGTGCCTGGCACATAGTAAGCACTTTAAATGTTAGTTATTATTATTATTATTACTAAATGTAGATGGCATTCTTAAGGAGTTTAGCCATGAAGGAGAGGGGAGATAAAAGATGGTAGCCAGAGGGAATCATTGGATCTAGTGAGGTTTTTTTAGACATACAGGAGATACGGCTGTAATAGGCAGTAGGGAAGGAACCTAGTAGATAGGTATTAGAGATAACAGAATGGGGATGATGATGGGGGTAATTTTATGATAGTGGGATCAAGTACACAAGTAGATTGCTTTCCTTGCAAAAAGAAGGGTGATTTCTTCAGTTGAGATCAGAATCACGTAACCTCTCTGGGCCTCAGTTCCTCATCTCTTAAATGAGGGGGTTGCATCCAGTGATCTTCATGGTCCCTTCCAGTTCTACATCAGTGACGTTGTAATATGCATTCTTTTGTCCTCTTCCATCCATTTGAGCCCATGCAGGAATAGAACAGTTGTGACATTGTGCTTCTGCCATTGACTGGCACTTATTCCTTCTCTTCTATTCTCAGAAATAATGGAGTGATTTGCTATTTCCTTCTCCTGTAGATTAAGGCAAACTGAGGTTAAGTGACTTGTTCAGGGTCACACAGCTAGTTAAGTGTCTGTTAAGAGACTGCTCTTGAACTCAGGTCTTCCTTATTCCAGGCCCAGCTGGAGCCTGGAATCTCTATCCACTGAGCCCTCCTTTTGACAGAGAGTTGGTGGGGGACTATAAATGGAATGAAGCACATGTCTGATATTTCCAATGAGTTGGTTTGGTTTACTTAAATATACTTCTTTGGTACAGGGAAAAGTTCTGTGGATTGGGGGAACGGGACGTTTTGGACTTTATTGGAAAGTAACAGCAATATTAAAAGTATCAGTATACCATTTATTTTAATAAGAATTATTGATTGTATTTTAAATATTATTGCTTCATCTATTAGATTTTTTCTTCTTCACTAAAGGTTGAAAAGAGTCACCCAGCAAAGCCTTTTTTCCCAGATGTATATAAGGAATTTGAAGAGTTGCATAAGATGGTTAAGAAAATGTGTCAAGATTACTTCAGTAACTCTGTTCTGAGTTCTCAGCAACCCTTGGAAATAAAAAATAATGAGGTAATGGGCATAGGAAAAGGGAGTTTGTGTATTAAATGTTATTTTTTAAAATGCCCTTTTACAAATGAACATAGGCAGTAATGTATTTTTACCAACTTTTTGTAGTTAGCTTTTGGGGTAACATCTTTATTTTTGGATAAACTCTGGCTAGAATTCAGGACCTTTCATAATCTGATGCTAACTTTTCAGACTTATTTCCTTACTGTTCTCTGTATTTACTACATTCTGGCCACACTTTGCTTAATGAATATGATCTGGGCTTTACTGTGTCTCTGCTTTTGTGCATACCATTCCCTATGACTTCCTCTTTCTTCTATTGAATTTCCACCCCTCAATCAGTCAGTGAGCATTTATTATCCATTTTTGAAAGTCCAAGATTAATGACACTTCCTCCATCATTGCTGGTCCACTCCTGTTGGCATTCATCTTCCTCCTTAGATCCCACATGACACTTGGTCATAATTCTGTCTAATATTGTTGGCATTATATTAATCTCTGTGTGTTTTGCTTTTCCTACTCTACCGTAAGACTATGGGAACCACATCTCATGTAAAGTCTGTCTCCCTCACTGCTGACCATAAAGGCCCTCATTGTTTCAGTTGAGTTGAATTGATGATTAGACTTATATGTTGTCTCTCTTGGCTGTGCATTTGCTTACATACTAATGTTTATCATTAAACTTTATTGAACTAGAAAGCAAGATATGCTGATGTATTCTTTACCTGCATTATTTTAAAGACCTGTGAAGAGCATTTAATGGTGGATTCATTAAGTATCTCCTTAAAATTTATTAGATGCTGCTCTTAGATATCTTAAAAGGTTAAATATACATTAAACAATTACAAATACTAAAAAAAAAACAACCAAACCAACCCCTGAAAACAATGTGGTTTGTAATATACTGGAATGAAATGCTGGACCTGCAAGTGTCTGTTGAGAATAAGAACTAGAACTTTACACACTGCAGTAAATTAAATTGAACAAGCTATTTTAATCCAAATTGGATTCTAGTGTGATTTTTATTTTGTTTTACTTTAAATTACAAAATGTGGACTTCAGCCTTTTCACATGCCAAAATTTGTCTTGCTCTAACGCTGTATACATCCATCTAAATCCATCTCTTATAGGTAGCCCATCAGTGATGTAGCCTCTATGGAGAAATGACATTGCATCAGTTTTTAAGGGGACACTGTCAAGGTTGGTAGGCTCAAAACTTGCCTGAATCCTTTTTTTCCCTTTCTCTATTTTCTTTTGGTTTATGTTTGAAATATCTATGTAGTCTCCTGTCCCTCATTTTCATCCTCTGGATGTGAGTATGGCAATGGGGAAAAAGCACTTCATAGCTCAGTATGCATGAATGTTTCTAAGGAAATAGACCAGCGACTGTTCCCAGGAGGAAGAGTCATAGATATGGAAGGCAGCTCCAGGGGAAGAGCCTGGAGACTTAGGCCTCAGTCTTGGCTCTGACTTTAACTAGGTGTGTGGCCTTGAGAGAGTTATTTCACCTCTCTGAGATTCAGCTTCCCATCTGTAAAATGGGTTTATAATACTCTTTGTACTGCCTCTCAGGGGCTGTTGTAAAGAGAACTGGAATGCATTTTTAAAAATGTGAGCTAGTATCATTAAGAAATCTGCCTCAGTAACAAGTCAATTTTACGATGAGTTTTCAGGCCCCATGGAAGAAAGAACTATGAAGTCCTAAGAAAACCTTTGCAGTGTCCTCTTCTAAACTTTGCTAACACCGCAACTTTAATTTTTGGGAATAACCTTTTTTGCTACTGGTACTCTTTCTAACCTTGTATTTTTGTTCCCACCTGATTACATAGTGACTAACTTAACAGAAGGACTTTGTATGCCAAATTGGGCTTAGTCATATAGTTATTATTTACTTGTCATTGAAAAGTTGTTACTTTCTTGATTGATTTTTTTTTTGTCCCTAAATTCTAGGTTGCTAAGTCGCTGGGAATTACAGAAGAGCTTCTACAGAAGAAAGAACTAGAAAAGAATGGCATTTCACCTCAATATATACTCAGTGCAGTTGAAGTGGGGCTAGGTGAAATTACTGGACAGAAAAGAGAAAATGAGGTAGGTGTTTGTGGTGGAAAATTTATGTAGCATTTAATTCCTGTGTTTCCATAGTAGAATGTAAGGTTCTTGAGGGCAGTAATTGTGTGGTTTTTTTATTTTTATTTTTTTTGTATTTGAATCCCAGAATGCTGTCACATAGTAGGTACTTAATAAGTGGTTGTTGAATTGAACTGAAAAAAATCCCAGGACTTGGAGTAAGAAGACCTGGCTTTGAATCCCAGTTCTGTTAATTTTTCAGCTTTGTAACTTGAGAATGTTACTTGACTTCACTGATTCAGGTTTTATTTGTAAAATGGAGTTAACTTATTTAATATATCAATAATTAATAAACATTTATTAAGTGCCTTCTATGTGCCAGGCACTGTGCTAAACCCTGGGGATACAAAGAGTCAAAAAATACTCCTTACCCTAAAAAAACTCACAATCTAATGGATATTAATTGAATGAATTTATTCATTCAAAAATGTTGGACTCTCAAAAGGTCAAAAATGGGAATCAATGGAAAAAAAATGTGAAGGAAGGCAACTTAGCATGACTAGATTTCAGACTTTATTACAAGTGGTAATCATGAAAACATTCTGCTACTGGCTAAGAAATTGTAGGGGCAGCTACGTGGCGTGGTAGATAGAGCTCCGGCCTTGTAGTCAGGAGGCCCTGAGTTCAAATGCGGCCTCAGACACTTGATACTTACTAGCTGTGTGACCCTGGGCAAGTCACTTTACCCCTATTGCCTTACCAAAAACAAACAAACAAAAAAAGAAGTAGAGTGGTGGATCAGTGGAACAGATTAGGTACACAGTACATGGTGGTAGTAAATGGCTATAGTAATTTAATGTTTGATAAACCCAGAGATCCAAGCTTTTGAGGCAAGAACTCAACATTTGACAAAAATTATTGGGAAAATTGGAATACAACTTCGCAGAAACTAGACATAGACCAACATCTCACACTATGTACTAAAATAAGATCAAAATGGTAAATGATTTAGACATAAAGGGTAATATAAGTAAATTAGGGGAACATGGAAAAATGTACCTGTCAGATGTATGGATATGGGAAGTTTATGACCAAACAAGAGATAGAGAGGATCATAGGATATAAAATAGATAGTTTTGATTACATGAAATTAAAAAGGTTTTGCACGAACAAAACCAGTGTAGCCAACATTAGGAGGAAAGGAATAAACTAGGGAAAATTTCTTATAGCAAGTTTTTCTGGTAAAGGCTTCATTTCTCAAATATAAAGGGAACTGAGCCAAATTTATAAAAACAAGAGCCATTCCCTAGTTGATAAATGGTCCAAGGATATGAACAGGCACTTTTCAGAAGAAGAAATGAAAGCTATCTATTGTCACATAAAAAAATGCTTTAAATTACTATTGATTAGAGACATACAAATAAAAGCAAATCTGAGGTACCGTCTCACACCTATCAGAAATGACAAATGCTTGAGGGGATGTGGGAAAATAAGTACACTAATGAAATGCTGGTTAAGTTGACCATGTTATGCTTATTTCCACTTGTCATCTGTTTCTCTGAAGGTGGATAACATTTTCCTTTGTAAGTCCATGTCTTCCCATTTTTTTCTAAATCAACCAGCTTATCATTTCCTATACCACAATATTCCAATTCAGTCACATCCTATCTGGGAGAATGTCTATGAAGATTCCCGTGCCCCCCCACCTCGATTTTCTGCATTCTTTCGATTCTTGGCTGCATAGATTTTGTTTATATAAGAAAATTTTAATTTAAAATAATTAGAATTATCCATTGTGTAATTTGACAATGCTTTCACCTTAGAACATGGTTTAAGGTCTGATACTGCTGAATCTACTTCCTTGCCATCTTTTCGCTCATTCTGGAGAACAATTTGGAACTATGCCCAAAGGGCTATAAAACTGCATACGCTTTGATCCAGCAATGCCACAGCTAGGTCTGTATCTCAGAGAGATCAAAGAAAAAGGAAATGGGCCCATATGTACAAAAATATTTATAGCCACTCTTTTTGTTGTGGCATAGAATTGGAAATTGAGGGGATGCCCATCAACTGAAGAATGATTGGACAAGTTGTTGTATATTATTGTGATGAAATACTATTGTGCTATAAGAAATGATGAGCAGGATACTCTCAGTAAATCTTGGAAAGACCTTTTGAATTGATGCAAAGTGAAATGAGCAGAATCAGGAGAATGTTGTATATAGTAATAGCAATATCATATGATGATCAACTGTGAATGATTTAGCTATTATTAGGAATACAATGAAACAAAACAATTTGGATCTTAAAATTTTTAAAAATAAATGTTAAAGCTTAAAAAAAACCAACCAAAAACAGCCACAGTCCCTGTTACTTTGAAATGTTGAAGCCAATATTCCAGTTGTGCTATTTCCCTTTTTGCAGAATTAGGCTGATTTGATTTCAGGTATACAGATATATAAAAGTCTTAATGCAGTTTTAAGCTGTTAAAGCTGAGATATATAAATTTGGTCTAAGTAGGAATTAATTAGTTAAGGATTTCTTGAGACAAAACACACACACACACACACACACACACACACACACACAATCTGAATGATTTGTAGTTATCCAGCATGTCAAACAAAAAATGCCAAACTTATAGGATTCAGTTCAACAAACATTTACCAGATGTATACTCTGCATTATGCTGGGCATATTGGGGTTACAAAGACAGATAGTATTGTTCTCAAGGACCTTACATTCTACTAGGAAATAGATAATTTTTGGAGGGTGGAAGGTGGACTGAACCTGTGGTTTCATTGTGGAGAAAACTCTCATTGCAGATAGGTACTTGCTCTGCGACTTAGTCTGAGAGAGTTGCCTCAGGTACTGAGAGGTTATGTGATTTACCTGACTCACACAGTCATTGTGTGTAAGAGGTAGGACTTGATTGACATCTGACCTTTTTGACTCCAAGGCCAGCCAGCTCTCTGTCCATTATGTGATACTCTCTAGGTAACGAATTTGGCTGGAAATTAGTAGGTAATAGAGTAAATATATGGAGTGATATGCTTAATAATTTTAATATATTATTTTAAAAGAAAAAGACCATTTTGTTAATTAATTGAATTATTAATTAGCTATATATCCACTAGCTATAAGTATCTTAATACAGTTTTAGACACTATCTATGTATGCTACTGCATGCTTGACAATTCATTTAAATTCAGTTAAACATTTATTAAGGGAAAAATAAAGAAAATAAAACCTCCAAGTTCCTGTACCTGTGCTCAGAGTGTTTATATTCCGTGAGGGATAAAACAATTTACAAAATAATTTTGGGCAAGAGAGAACTCTAACAAGTAAGGGGATCAGTTGAATGGCCCCCAACTAGTGTTGTATAGGAAGCTAATGATTCTAAGTGAGGAGGAAATACTTTCAGATGTGAGACAGCCTGGGCAAAAGTCTGAGTTCAGTAATAAGCCATTTTGGCTGGAATATTAAGTATGTGAAGAGGAGACTTGTGAAATAAAGCTATAAAATAAGGCCGGAGCCAGACTGAAGGTCTTTAAATGTCAAATTGAGGAGTTTGTATTTTATTCTACAACAGGGAAACATCTTACATTTTTTAGTAGAGTGATATTGTCAGACTCTGTAATAATAATGTTTGTGTTCCCTACTTAATGTATGGAAATTGTTTAATAAATCTTGAAAGCATTGCAGAAATGTGAATAGTTATTACTGTGCCAGGGTTGATTACTCTTTGAAACACTGAATTGCTGTTGTTTTAATTTTTAAACATTTATAACGATGACAGGTCAGAAAAGGTATTTTTTCATGTTGTTTAGTGAATTGGATTTTTATTCATAGATACTTGAAGAAGTACTGGTGCCAGTCAAAAGAACCAGGATAGAAAGTGGATCCAAGAACATGAATGATAATTACGCTAGTCACAGTGGACTCAAGGAGAAAACCATATCTTTGTGTAACCAAGTTAACACTGAAGGTAACATTTCTGTGGCATTCGGTTGATTGGATGCACTAATTGTTCAGTAGCATTTCAGGTTATTTTCAAATTTTAAAAATTTTTAAAATTTTCTAATTTTAAAAAGAATAATCTGCTTCAGTGTTTAAAGGCTTTTTAGGTTTTTAAGAGCCCTACTTAAAGTGATACTCTCCCGAGGGCATCACTTACTTCCTCAGAAACCTTTCTGTAACTCCCCATTGCTTACAAAATGAATATATTTTGGACCATTTTTTTTAGACAAAGCTTGGGTGAGTGTATGAAACCTATCACGATTTTCTTCGACATAGAAACCACCCTCCACCTAGTACATGATGTCTGTTGTCTCTTTCCAATAATAACAATAGCAAGCCTTTATTTGACACAAAATGCTTTTTCTATATATTCTTTCATGTGACCCTCATAACAACCCTTTGGGGTGGGTGCTATTATCCCCATTGTACAGAGAAGGAAACTGAGACTAAGAGATTAAGTAACTTGCCCACAGACACACAGCTAGTAAGCGTTTGAGGTAGAATTCAAACTTAGGTCTTCCTGATTCCAAGCTTCAGTGTGGCCCCCTTGTACCCTTTCTTACTACATTCTATTTAGTTGTATATATTTCTTATCTTTCCTGCTGGATAATAAGCTCCTTGAGGTTAGGGACATTGTTGTGTAGAAAGAAAGTAGTCTTTGAGCAAAACTGGGAGTTCTCTTGTGGAGGTTAGAAGTGAGTGCATTCCAGGCTTAGAGGTTGAAGAGCCATAGTCATCTGTAATTTGATTGGACTGAGTGTGTGAAGGGGTTTAAAAAATTAAAATTAAAACTTTTTTTAAATGTACGATAAAGCTGCAAAGTTACATTGGAGCCAGGTTGTGAATGCCTTTAAATGCCAATATGGGGAGCTTGTATTGGATTCCAGAAGTAATAGAGAGCTACTGGAATTCATGAAACTGGAGAGTGACACAGTGAAACCTGTGCTAATGCCCTTGCTGTCATACTCATTTTTTCTCTCTGTATGAGCAGGTGGCTGGACAACATGGTTTTTAAGGTCTCGTGTTCTATAACATAACCTACGAAATTAGCCTTAGTATAAATCATACATGATTGAAATTTTTTTTGTTTAGTAACATTAACAAACATCAACTAAAATTACACAGAAGAAAAAAGAATTGTACATGAAACTGTGACTCTATTATATACAACTTGATTTTTATTTTTAAGTGAGTTCAGTGTACAATTTTTTAAAAATAATTTTTTACTGTTATCTTGATTTTTATATTGACTAAATTTCCCCCTCTATCCCGCTTCTTGCCCTCTCGCAGAAAGCTATTCCATGCAACAATTTTTTTATTTTTAGAAAAATAGCAAAACCAATTAGTAAATTAGTATATTAGTCTGGTAATACATGCAATTCAATATGTATCTTTTAGAGCTGTCTGCTCGTCTGATTGAGTTTAGACTTTTCTGTTCTTTTATGTGCATTTAAAAAAAACTGGCTACATATTTTCTAGCTGTCTTTGTTCAACTAGTTTGATAATTTTGCATGTTAACCTTGTTTTGGGTTCATCTGACTGGTCAGTCAAAGGGTAATAATCCTTCTTCCACCTTATCTACTATACTGTCTGTCAGCAGTCTGCAAGCTAATTTACCATGTAGCCCTGAATGTTTCATTTCTGTTTTGCTTTTTAAAATGGTTTCTTCTTGTTGAGGTAGAGATATAGTAAATAGAGTGCTGGACTTTGAGTCAGAAAGACCCAGGTTCAGATTCTGCTACTGACAATAACTGTGACCATTGGCAAGTCAGTTAACTTCTCTGAGTTGCAGTCTCATCTCTAAAGAGAGGGTAATACCTGTTGTACACAGGGTTTTTGGTAAGGCACAAATGAAAATCATCTCATTTGATATGTCAAAGTTTTTTACAAGCTTTAAAGCATTATATAAATGCCACTTCGGATTATGATAATTAGATTAAAATTAATTGCTGTATAGTCCTCAGAATACTACTGTCGTTTGAAAACTAACCTTTTAAAAGACAGTAGTGGCCAACACCAGAGCTTTGGGCACCAGAAAATGATTTTTTTTTTTTAGCCATAGCAATGCAGGATATGAGCTTTATTAGTGTAGGTATACAGATGAATTCACTTTTAGCTGTTAAAATTATTCTGCAAAACCAATTTTGCTCTCAGTCTCATCTAGCAAGATTTCATTCTTTAGTTTTTGCCAAGGGAGTTATTATATAAACAATATAATCAAAACTTAGCTTATTCTTTGTATAGTGAAACACTAAAAGTTAAATGCATACTTTTATGTAGGCAGCTATGCTTGGCCCAGGGAGAGATGGAATTCAGATAAGATCCTGTTCCTTCCCCGTGGAACTGAGTAAAACGTAGATAATACACAAGCACAAATGAATAGCATGTATGTTCTGAATTGTAATTCAGTATTTTAAGAAATCAATGGATCCGTATTCTGATTTGTGGGAGTACTTCTGAGCATTTCCTGTCTGTGTTCATTGTTCACAAAGGATACCCACAGTTTTTTGGGAGGCTTTCCTCTACATCTTTTAATATTTCTTCCATACTGTTATCCTATTTGGGTTGTCTTGTTCTCACTGCATGACTTGACCACCCCTTCTGATTGTATATTTTTTGGGTGATGTATTTTGTGCCCACTAATTTTTATTTCCAATGCATTTTGAGCATTTACAATTGTAATCATATGAATGATATAGGATATGTAACCATATTTTATATATATATAAAAGTTAGTTTATTGAAGAATGATGAAATGTTTGTATGTTCAATTTTCCCCAGATGCTTTAGGTTTCAACCTCCAGCTTAATAGGACTACCTCTCAGTCTTCAGAAGAAACTTATGTGGCAGTCATTGATGCTGGGAGTCACATGTTAAATGGTGGCCAGCCCCCTAAAGCATTTGCTGATGTAGAAGGCAAGAATGAACCTGCAGGTTCTGTCATCCTATACCAGGCTGTTGAAGGAATGCAAACTTGTTCCCAGGTAGAAGATCCAGGTAGCCTATTTCAAGAACAGACAGAGTTGCTCCCGGAATATGTTCATAATCACCCCCCTGACCAGACTACTTCTGACGAATCTGCTATTTCTGATTTCTGTTGTTCCACATTATCTGATAAAGACTGCCCATGGTCTGGGCATGAGATTCAAAACGGAAGACAGAATGAGGATTGTAAATCCCATCAGGAATTTTTAAATCCAGATAATGAGATTCATGAGATAATACCACAGCCTGAAAATATTTTGTCAACAGACATTCCCATGGACAATTCATGCCGGACTTCTTTGGAATCACAGCATCATCCTTTATTAGAAGCATCTGTGTCCACTGAGGACATTCTTGAAAATCCTACTGAAAATTTGGACCAGTTCCCTGAGTCATTACAGAATGTCCAAAGAGAACAGGAGAGTGCAGTTGCTGTAGGTGAAACTCTGGCCTTCGAAATTCCTGATGAGAGCCAGGAATTGTCTCAGGGACGTGAACAAATTTTTATTCAAACTTCAGATGGGCATATCCTGCCCCATCCAGGTACAGTTGTATCTGAGGCTAATGACATTGTTATAGTAACAGAAGTTAATGGTACTGCAGTGCACATCAGTACACCTGATGGACTTCCTTTAGAAACACTGGAAGCATTGCTGGCAGTAGAGAGAGAGCCAGAGTGAGAGCATTATGAACTCTCATAATTAAATAGTACCAGAACCATAGTTTTTACATTTATACATAATTGTCTTAAGAGATGGTCTATTTCAACAAGTCTATTTTTCTAATGTGAATACTGAAACAAGGTGAACCTTTTAACTTATTTATAAAGAATTATCTTATTTCTACAATGAAATGTACTTTATGTATCTTGTCTGAACTGAAAATAGCTAAATATAACAAAAAACCATGTTGGTTTTTGATTTAAAACACCTTTTAAAACTTCAAGAGCTTTTGATGAATGTTGTGAAAACTGCATTATCACTTGTTTCATGAAACCTTTTACAACTCTCACTTCCCTTTCCACGCCCCACAATGCAGTTTGCTTCACTGCATTTTGACAGTGATGTCTATATTGGAAACTTCTTGAAAGATATATTTTAACAAAACTGATTGTAAGGTATTTTCCTTGGGAAATAAATAGACTCTCACCATTACTATCCCAGTTTTAGAGATGAGATGGAAGAACAATTTCTTTGTGGTCTGTTTCAAGAAAGAACTAGTGTGATAGTCACATCTCACTGTGAAAAAGTAAAGAGGCCCTTCAGATTCTAAGGTGTCTGTTTTACTCAGTTTTTAATGATTTTTTGAAAACAGAATTTGCCTTAGTCTGTGTTAATATTCTACAACAAAAACTTTGATATTTTAGTCATTTATACTAAATTTTTGACCTAGTCCTTTGTTTCCCACAAAGGGTTATAAGACTTAAATAGGACAATCAAAATTATAAAAAGCAGCATATAATCAAGTGCCAAAATATGTAACAGACTATCATAGTATTTCTCTTTTAAAGTATAATTTTGGATTATCTCTTTTGAGTCTCACAGTACTCTTTTTCTCGTACTAAAATTTCTTGGTGCTTTTTCCTTCTAAAACCATGTTTTATTAAATTTTCTTTACACTGCTGCCATTTCCCAGTATTCATGGACTATTCTCCTTCGTTGTCCATAGAACCCTCTCTGTAACAAAGCGATGAAAATGGCAAATTGATGTCTAGCAGCATATGTCTCATTCTTCAGCTGGAATGATGTTTCATTTATCAGTCTTCAGGATTTAAGATTGGTCATTACATTTATGTGAGTCCTCATATCTTTTAGTGTTCTTTTCTCAGTTTATTAATTTTTTTGTGTTATTTTCTCCTACAGCATTGTGGTCATTGTGTAGATTTTTACCAGGATTCTGCCTTCTTTATTTTTCATTGGCCAGTATAAGCCCTCCCAAGCTAATCTGAATTCTTATATTTGTAATTTCTTAATGGCACAGTAATATCTCATTGTATTCATATGCCATAGTTTGTTCCTAGTTTATGGGAATAAATTCTCACTTGTTTTCCACCTTCCTTCCCTCTTTTGATGCTACTAAAAGTGTTGCTAGAATTAATTTTTTATACACACACACAAATGAGACCTTTATCTCTGTCTTTGACATCCTTAGGGTGTATACCCAGTCTGGAGTTTTTTTTTTCTTCCCATTTAAGTGTTATTTTGAAGGCTTTATTTTGCATCACTGTCACTTCACAATAATGCTCCCTACCCTCAGTGGAACCCTCTGGAGTATAAGCTTGTTGTGAATAAAGGTGTTTTTCCTCGTAATTGCATCTCTAATGCCTAGCATGGTACTGAGCACATATTAGATACGTAATACTTATTGACTTAGAACAAATAAGTGTAGTCAAGCAAAACAGAATGGTCATGGGTGAATACCATGTTATCATTTCTTACCTCTGTTTCCCATTTCTGGTGACAGAGGGAGGGGAAGCATGCTTCGTTGTTACTCTTCTGGATCTATAAATGGTGACTACGTTGATCAAAGTTCTAAAATCTTTTTTTCCCATCATATAGATTGTTTTCCTAGTTCTGAGTTACTCTGCTTCAGGTCATAAAAGTCTTCCCAAATTTTTCTGAAGTCTCCATACTTGCTGTTTGTTACAATGCAATAATTACCTTCATATACCATAAATTATTCAGTCATTCTTCAATCAGTGGACATCTATTTATTTTCTAGTTCATTAAAATTTTTTAAATTTATACTTTTTAAAACATCATTCATTTCTGAATTTATCCTCCTTCTTACTGGTAACTACTACCCAGGCAACACTCCTGTTGTAACAAACGTTAAAAAAGAGAAAAGGATTATGTGCAATATTCTAGTCCTCTATCTCTGTAATAAAAGGTGGGAAGTGCAGTTTTTTAATTCTTCTGGATTTAAATTTGATCACTAAATCATAGCATTCAGAAGGGGGTTTTGTTTTTCTCTGTTTGCATTGTTGTAGTTATGTTGTGTACTTAGTTTTGCTTATTTCACTTTGCATTGGTTCATATGTCTTCCTGTGTTTTTTCTTACTACAAAGTGTAACCAGAAATATTTTGGTGTATATGGGCTCTTTCCTTCTCACCTTGACATCCTTGGTGTACATGTCTATTCTGGTGCTTTTTCAGAACCACATTACTGAATTATTTAATTAGAGATCTGTAATGTCCTCATTACTTGAGGAGGGCTGCCTGGGTCATACTAACCTGCACCTGCAGTCTTCGGGCGTCCCCGGAAAACAAAGGAGTGGAGTTGACAGTGAGGTGTAGTTTCGAAAGGTTTATTCAGCCATTGTCTCAAGTGGGTAAGCAACTACTACTCTCTTACCACTCTCCCCGCTGATCCTGCCTTCAGCGTTTTATATCTTTTACTTATGGGAACATACCCCAATGTAACAGTGAACAAAGCGACAAGGTTTACATATCTTTACCAACAGGCAGCACCGAGCATCTTTCCCATGAGAATAATAATGAGAGTATCTACAAGTACATTTCTTTGCAACATTATCCTGACTGTGTCCTTCTCCCATAAAACACCATGTACTTTTCGTTCCCGGAATGTTCCCAATACTTGATACTTGAACTAGCAATACTTGATACATAAGTTAGCAATACTGGATATCTCTTTGTGCCAGACCTGACTGTGCTTGAGCTAGCAACATTGTGTTATAGTTTGAGCTTGCCTAGTATCAGAGTTCTGCTGATTGGGGAATGCAAGGTCCATGGACAGAGAACCGAGCCAGGATATTCTACACATGTACTAACACCCGAGAGGGACCTTCGCCTATCAGTGAAGTCTCATGAACAGCCTGTGGTCCTCAACATCCTACCGGTCCCCACAGAGATCATATAATCTGACATTACTTAGTGGAATAAATTATAAACTATTTAGATTTTAATACTTATAGCAAAGAGATACGGAAAATTATAAGAACTTTACCTCAAAACGTCTTAAAGTAGCTACAGTGTTTTTGGTGGATCAGACTTCTTCCCTGCAGCTTAAAAATCTCAAGAATCTGTCAAACAGTTTAACTGACAGCACTTAAGTGCAAAGCACTTTATATACATTTTTATTTGAGCCACATATACACGAGATAGGTACATCAGATACTATAATCTCCATTTTTATAGATTAGCATGAGATGAGTTGGGTTGTGGTTTGACCATCAGGTTACACTGCTAGTGTCAGAAGTAATTGGCTTTGAGCACACCATACATTCCTGAGGCCCAAGTCTAGTTTTCTGTCCACTGTTGTGTAATAGATGATGTTATATATTTAGAATGTTTAATTTTCTGAGAAATGCTCTTAGAGGAATATTAATGGAACAGCTTATCATAGTGGCATGGTAGGTAGAGAGTTGGCCCTGCAGCCAGGAAGCCTTAGACTCGAGTCCCGTTTCTGGTAGAAGCTGTGTGAATGTAACTTCTCAGTGCTCTATATCAGAGATGTTAATCATGTAGCCCTCAACACTCCAGAGGGCTTCTCTGAAGTAGATTAAAATGTAATTGGGAGATATTTAACTAAATAAAATTATAATTAAACAGATATTACACTTTAAAACTAAGTCAGTGTGCATCTTGCAAGGATGTTTCTGTACAAATTAGAGGTCCTCATTTCTACGTGAGTTTGACACCACCGCAGAGAAGCTGCCTACCTGCTTCTGCAGAAGTTCTGCACTGAGAGTTCCATGCCAATAAAAACACAGATCCAGTTCTTAGAAAACAAAATTTAGTTTCTTGAGGGTACTTGAATATAGATTAATATCATAGCTTGTAGCTAAAAGTATTTTTCATTTTTCTTCTTAGTGGAAAAAAAAAGTGATGGCTTCTCTATATGTCAGGAAATGTAAAGTCTGCTAATATGGTGTATTATTATACTGCAGTAAAATACTATTGCAGTGATGTAATGTCAATACGACCATGAAGTCAGAAGAATTGTGTTGTAATCCTGGTTCTGCTGCTAACTCACTACGACTTTGGGTAATTCATTTCACTTTTCTTGGCCTAATGAGGTACCATGCTCAGTATTATACTTAAGACAGAGGTTCCTAAGTTTTTTTTGTGTCACTGACAGTCTGATGAAGTCTGTAGACTCCCCAGAGCAATGGTTTTAAATAACAGAAGGAAATGCTAAATTTCACTTAGAGCTTAGTGAAAATAAAAATGTAAATTTTTTTTCCTCATCCAAATTCATGGACCTTATGAAATCTCTCTGTGGATTCTAAGTCAACAGCTCTTATTTTAAGGCCGTCTCTAAGGATTTCCTGTAATTCAGCATTCTAAAATTACTGGAGTAATATCAAAGCAATATGAAATAAAGAGAATTTAATTTAGTAATGAGACAGAATGCCTTAATGATCAAGTACAAGTACAGAATTTAGAGCAGACCTGTGATTTCACTGGTCTAGGCCATTCCTGATGTGGGACTAGATGGGTAGCTTGAAATCTTAGAATTGACTAGAGCATGGAGAAGTCACGTGACAGTATCTTAGAGGCAGAACTTGAACTCGAGTCTTCTGGCTCTAACGCCAGATCTAAATCCACTTTGCCATGCTGCCTCACATATGGTATATAGTTATATGATACAATTGTTATTATATAGTATAATGCTGTATTATTATACTATAAACCTTAGGTAGAGGCTTTTTTTTTAAAGGCTCAAGTATTAAAATAATACTTAACAGCAGGAATTAAAATATTGTTTAGTTGGCTTTTTCATTTTTTTTATATTTATTTTCACTTGTTTTCTGTTTACCTTCCCCCTCCTTTCCAGTTTTGGATAAATCTATAAATTATTAAATGAACTACCTCAGCCTTGGAAACAGTAAAAACGTGTGTGTGTGTGTGTGTGTGTGTGTGTGTGTGTCTGTGTGTATGTGACTCATAAAATAAGTGCAGGCATTGGACCATGACAGTTTTTATCCTAGAAAAATAAAGTCACATCCTTGGTAATTTTGTAAAAATAGAAGTAGTGGCACATTAATGTTTAAAAATAAAATTTGAGAAAAATGGCATTATGGACGAATGCCATATTTCATGAGTCATGATGAACCATAAGTTTACAGTGTTGAAAAAATAATCAGTGATATTACAGAGCTAGCTTTCCTGTTACTCATATAACAGATCAATTAAGTATTATGTGCCTGTTGTATGCAAAGGGACTTTGCTAGGTTAGTTTCAAAAAATGTTTATGACTATGGTTATTTGATATTTACAATTAGTCTGCGAGAGATAATAGGTATGTAGAAAGAAAACTCAGAATTCTAAAGCTGGATTCATTATAGAGCTTCTTAGCTGTGATTTATCATTGGTCCTAGAAATATTTAATGGAGCCATAATTCAAACCCAGATCTCGTGACTATCAAAATTCAGTGCTTTTCCTTTAAGTTATCCCGTGTCTTGCTGTATGTAGACTATTTTCTCTTACATTCCACTTAAAAAAAAAGGAACAGAAAAGGGAGACCTATGAAGAAAAACCAATCTAGCAATGGATTATCAAGCAAAAACAGTGAGAGTTTAAAAGGAAGGAAGCTTTGGCACCTTGAAGGCAAGCTAAAAGTTTTCAGGGCATTAGAGGAAATAAAAATCTGGTGCAAGTACAGATATTGGGTTAGGTACACAGTAGGCACAAATGTATTTTTGTTTGTTTTTGGTTTTTTTGTTTTGCTTTTAGGCAATTGGGGTTAAATGACTTGCCCAGGGTCACACAGCTAGTAAGTGTCAAGTGTTTGGTCTGAGGTCAGATTTGAACTTAGGTCCCCCTGACTTCAGGGCCAGTGCTCTATCCACTGCGCCACCTAGCTGCCCAACAAATGTATTTTTAAGGAGAATAATTACCACCATAAACTTAAAAATTTGTAGTGCTTTAATATACATTAACTTGCTTGCGTGTTAAAGTAATTCCATGAAGTAGGTATCATAGGTGGAAAGATAACAATCTTCCCTTTAATGATGTATTAAGTATAAAAATCAGCATCTGAACACAGGTCTTTTCTGACTCTGACTATGCTACCTCATGAGGGCTTGAAAATAGAGCTGGATAATGAACAAGTATCTGAAAAAGGACTGGTTGTTTTTAAAAATTTATTGCTTTTTTAAAAAACAGCATTTATATAGTTATCTCTGTCCCCACTCTCCTTTGTAACAAAAACAGTTAAGCAAGTAAAATTGACACACTTCCACACCCCAAAACCCCATCAACCTGTGAAAATACATTTCATTAGTCTTCTGATTAATATTAGTTATTTACCTTAACCTGAATTTTTTTTAATATTTTCTTTCCA